CCTTCGATTGTTGGTTGCAAAAAAAAAAAATCAGGTGTGTAGTTACACAACATTTTAATTGCGCCTTCAAAGACCAGCGTATATTATGCCCTTTACGGAAGTTTGCAAGAGTGCGTGCCTTCGGCCCTGCTTTCAACACTTGCGAGACCCTGCTGCCAACCTGCCCAGTAGCTTTTGTATCTTGATGCATACGTGGAAAAAAATGTATCCGCTAGTAAATGAAGCGACATGTCACTTGTGCCTCGATATGATTGTGTGGTTGCGAAAAATAATCAAACAGCGATAGCGAACGTAGCTAAGGCTCTGGCATGGCAGATGCTAGCCTGGAAGCAAGCTTGCGGAGGCCTGGCGAGCAAGCCTGCTGAGTTCCTTGGCAGCCGCGTGCAGGAGCCGCAAGCGGCAGGCTTCGGAGGCCATGGCTGCAGCATGCGAAGCCATGGCTGGCAGGTGCAGAGGGCCCTGGCTGCGCAGGTTGCAGAGGCTCTGTCTGGCAGGCTGCGGAGGCCCTGTCTGGAGGATTGCCGGAGGCCCTGGTGGCAGGCTGCGGAGGGCCCTGACAGCCTTGCGGAGATCTCCTCTGTGCATGTAAAAGTAAAAAGTGTTGTTGCTATGCCAAAAAAAAAGTAAGCTTTTTGGGTCTTTTTGAACTACCGGGGCATTTTTGGTGTTATTAGCCCCATTTGCCTTTTAGAGGGAAGATGACATGCAAAGGAGTAGCAAAATTTTCCTCGCAGAAGTCGAGCGGCCAGTTAGGGAATGACCCTTGTTGCCTTCGATTGTTGGATGCGGAAGATTAAATTGATGTGCCAAGTCACGTGTAATCATTGGCATTATTGGAGTATATGCTACCTATGTCACTTGCTATTTTACATCTTATATGGATGTTCAATTTGCCCAAACCTAGCTACAATTCGTGCATTGCGGGAACTTGCCGTCCACATCATTACTTTGACCCTTTGGTTCGCCTGTCGTAGGAGTTAGCTTACTCTTCGTCACTGGGTGGTGCCATTGGGCTTGTTGATGTGGAAGTGCTTGAGACCATATTGGCACATGAGTTTTCGTATACTCTACTTCAATTGATTGGTGGTTACTTTGTGTGGCCAACCATCAATATAGTAGACCTTTCATTTCTATGGTCCTCGTATTAAAATGAAGATCAATGAAGAAGCCATGATTGTTGCTTGCGATGCGAATCCCTTTATTTGTGGCATTAATTGTTTGAAATTCTTTATGAGTAATCTCTTCAACCTTTCTCAAGATGTGGAGATTGCTTCATAGGATGAGACCCACGTACCCCTTGCTAAGGGTGTCATTTCAGGACAATCTTTTGGCTTAGGCTGTCGATTTTGGGTCTCGTTATATTGTTGCAAATGTGGCTCATTCGAGAAAATTGCCCTTGGTGCCTTGAGCACATTGCTCAGGTTGGTAAATTCAAAGGTGATGTTGCCTTATATCTTCTATGCGACTTTGGTTCTTTCCCATCCCACCATCAATATTGTTGTTGGGGCTGGGCTGAGATCATAGTTGTGTCGTTAACGTGCTACCTGGTTGATCCTGCCAGTAGTCATATGCTTGTCTCAAAGATTAAGCCATGCATGTGTAAGTATGAACTATTTCAGACTGTGAAACTGCGAATGGCTCATTAAATTAGTTATAGTTTTTTTGATGGTACGTACTACTCGGATAACCGTAGTAATTCTAGAAACGTGCACCAAAACCCCGACTTATGGAAGGGATGCATTTATTAGGTAAAAGGCTGATGCGGGCTTATGCCCGTTTCCCTGAAGATTCATGATAACTTGTCGGATCGCACGGCCCTTGTGCCAGCGACGCATCATTCGAATATCTGCCCTATCAACTTTCGATGGTAGGATAGGGGCCTACCATGGTCGTGACAGGTGACGGAGAATTAGGGTTCGATTTTGGAGAGGGATCCAGAGAGACAGCTACCACATCGAAGGAAGGCAGCAGGCGCGCAAATTACCCAATCCTGACACGGGGAGGTAGTGACAATAAATAACAATACCGGGCTCTTCGAGTCTTGTAATTGGAATGAGTACAATCTAAATCCCTTAACGAGGATCCATTATAGGGCAAGTCTGGTGCCAGCAGCCGCAGTAATTCCAGCTCCAATAGCGTATATTTAAGTTGTTGTAGTTAAAAAGCTCGTAGTTGGACCTTGGGTTGGGTCGGTCAGTCCGCCTCACGGTGTGCACCGCCCACCTCGTTCCTTATGCCGGCGATGCGTTCCTGGCCTTAACTGGCCAGGTCGTGCCTCCGGAGCCGTTACTTTGAAGAAATTGGAGTGCTCAAAGCAAGCCCACGCTCTGGATACGTTAGCATGGGATAACACCACAGGATTTCGGTCCTATTGTGTTGGCCTTCGGGATCGAAGTAATGATTAAGAGGGACGGTCGGGGGCATTCGTATTTCATAGTCAGAGGTGAAATTCTTGGATTTATGAAAGACGAACCACTGCAAAAGCATTTGCCAAGGATGTTTTCATTAATCAAGAATGAAAGTTGGGGGCTCGAAGACGATCAGATACCGTCCTAGTCTCAACCATAAACGATGCCGACCAGGGATCGGCGGATGTTGCTTTTAGAACTCCGCCGGCACCTTGTGAGAAATAAAAGTTTTTGGGTTCCTTGAAAGTTGCAAATGCATTAGAAATAAAGAGAAAATACAAGTACAACCAAAAAGAGCTAAGCTCTATCACTCTCCTCCGTCACAAGTTCAACAAAAGTTAAAGGGATAAGAGAGGAAGTTACATCAAGCCAAATAAAATCACCCAAGAGGGCATGTTTAGCACAAAAATCAGCAGGTCTATTACTAAGCCGAGGAATATGCTGGAAGATAACTTGTCTAAATTTGCTAAGGAAGCTAAGGTCCGGACCATCCACCATACGGTGTAGCCCACTAGCCGGTTGGTAAATCTCTTGAAGCCACTTCACTGCCTCCGAGCTATCCCCTTCCACAATGAGTCCCTCACGATCATACATCCAATCGTCGATCAATTCCGCAAAGGCTAAGGCTGCCTTTAGTTCAGCTTGTATGGGGTCCCAGTGTTCAATGAACCTCCCCGACGCCACAACCAATCTGCCCATGTCATCCCGCACAACCAAACCGAGACCCGCACGGTTCGATGAAGTCAGCGCCGCATCAAAGTTCACTTTGAGCCAATTAGGAGGGGGTGTGCACCATAAATGATTAGTTGGCAACCCAATGGGTTGATTGATGCACCATTGCTCCATCTGAGGCATGCAAAAAGATTTTGGAATCTGAGAAAGAACCGTGGCAGCTATAACTTTAGGCGTCCCAAATGATCGACCGTGCTTCAAAGCATTACGCGCTCTCCAGGTTTGATAGACCGTGTAACAAAAGATCCGTCCAAGAGAGGGGTTGTCCCGAGCTAGCCCCTTCAACGAGCAGATCATATCCTCAAATGAATTAGGCTCGGGCATGTAAAACCCCCACTCCGCAAGGCAAGCCGTAACCTGCTTCAGTTTCATGCAGTGGATAGTGCAGTGGGCACGGTTTTCCTCCATCCCGCAACCCCACGGGCACTGGTCGGTGTCAGCAAGGTTTCTCCTAGCCAGCCACTCATTAGTAGGGATTGCATCCCGCATCATTCTCCACCAAAAGAACCTCTCCCTCGGATGCAAACGAAGGAGTCGAAGCCACCCAATGTTGTAGTTTCCCTCACCAATTTTGGCTTCATAAGCCAGAGCCGTCACCGACTTCCCTCTATTTAAACGGGCAAGCTCCGGAACATCCTTCATGTGCTCTCCCCCCACTGGAATTTCGAGAATTCGGCCGCCCAGCACCTCCCCGAACGTAAGCAGCACCTCCTCCCTATTCCAGCCCCTATCAACTTCCAGAAAATGGCTAACCTTGCTATCATCCTCATCATCCCTACAGTAGAATGTTGGCCACCTCTCCAGCCACCTGTCAAGGATCCAAGCATCCTTAAATACATCAATGCAAATACAGTAGAACGTTGGCCAACCTCCCTATTCCAGCCTCAGTTCCCATCTCAGTGTTGTCATTACACTTACCGTCTGGTACCTCCGCAACAGCAGCAATAGGAATCTAGGTTACAACCTCACCCGAAATAGAGCCCGCAGTCGATGGCTGGTTCACGGCCTGGTGTATTGCCGCACACTCGGACGCCAATTCCAGCGCCGCGACATATCTGGCCGCAGCAGCGGCTTCAGCATTGGCCGCCTCCGCAACACGCCCCAGCGCCTGCTCAAATTCCATGGCAGCCCTGACTTCCCCCTCTGCCTGGTCAACTTCCATTTGCACATCCATCGCCTTGTCCGCCTTTGCCACCCCCGCAGGGACAGCCCCAAGCCTGTCAGCCAAATCCATGCCTCCCCGCGTACTAGCTTGGCCATTGCCAAACCTGTCCGGTGCTTTTGCACCCCGCGACCCCGCAATAGCCTCCTCACCCGAAGGCTTCACCGCCGCAGCACCCTTGCTCGCCGACTTCCCCGATCTCGCCTTGGCCGGGGATTTAACCTCCACATACCTCTTGCCACCGCCGGACCCAACACCCGACCGCCTCCTATCCCTGTCGCCTCCACCCAAACCTTCACCGCCGCAACCCCCGCTGGAGCGGGGAGGAGACCGCCTGTCTCCCCCTGCCATAACCCAGACCTTCTCACACTAGAACACTCTAGTGAGAGAAACGCTTGGCAAGAAGTGAAAAACCTCCCAAAGTTTTTGGGTTCCTTGAAATTTGCATTAATCATTAAAAAATAAAATAAAAATACATGAAGTACAAAAGAAAGAGCCTACACTCTATCACTATCCTCCCTTAGCAAAGTTACAAAAGAGGGAGGTACATTTCTATCATCACAATCAGTCCAAACAAAATTGCCAAACCTAGCCAGGTGCGCACAAAAATCAGTCGGCCTATTTCTAGCCCGCGGAATGTGGTGGAACAGCACTTGCTTGAAGTCAAGAAAGAACGACAAATCCAGACCCGACGTTTGCTAGTGATCCTTGCTCTTGTAATTGAACATAGTTTGGAGCCACTTGATCGCCGGGAGGCAATCACCCTCAATGATAATGCCGTCCATTTGCATCATCCAGTCACGGATAGCATCCTTCACCGCTAGCGCCGCCATAATCTCCACATTGGTAACATCCCAATGCTCGATTTGCTTACCAACTGCCACCACCAGTCGGCCATTAACATCCCGAGCCACGATTCCCAAACCCGCCGTCCCCGACGGCTGAAGCGAGGCATCCACATTGAACTTTACCCATCCTGGAGGGGGGGGGGGTGCACCAAAGCTTGTAGGAAGGCAATCCAGTGGACTGAGAGGTACACCATTGCTCCAAAACTGGCGAAGAACAAGTTTTCGACAGCATAGACAAAGTATTGGCCGCAATGGACGATGGCGTACAGCAAGAACGTCCGTGCAGTTTATCGTTGCGAGCACGCCAGACTTGATAAACCGTGTAGCAATAGAGTCTCCCGTGGCTGGCATTGTCCCTAGCAGCCAGCTCGAGCATCCTCAATAATTTAATCCACGAATTAACGGGCGGCATGTGAAATCCCCATTTGGCAAGTACCGACAGGGAAGCGGCGAGATTGTCACAATGTGCTGCCACATGCTCAAGTGTTTCAAGTTGAGGGCATCCCCAAGGGCAATTCCGTGAGTCAGAAAGGCCACGGCGAAACAACCACTCCATAGTAGGCAGCGCATCCTGGAATAGACGCCACCAAAAAAACTGCTCCCGTGGGTGTAATTTAAGTCTCCGAAGCCAGGCGAACTGGAACCCAGCCTTAACCTTGCCGTGATTGTACGCCATTGAAGTAATAGTAACCGCAAGGTGGGAGTGAAGAAGCTCCGGCGAGTCCGAGCCATCACCCGTACTAATTTGCACATTTAAAACTCGGTTGGCAAGCTCCTCCCCGAGGCAATCCCGAATAGTGTCTCGGTTCCAGTTATGGTGCTCATCAAGGAGGCAGCTCACCGTCTGGCCATCCAAAGCCTCCACCTTAAAAAACGTAGGCCATCTTGCTAAAGTAAGGTTCCCAATCTAGACATCATTGAGGACATCAACATTATCCCCATTTCTAATGGTCCACCTTAAGATTGGATGGAGAGCCTCGGCGCCATCCTGAAGGATCCTCCAAGTGACCGACGTGTTTCTCTCCATCCGAGGATGCCACAGATCCTGGCCCTATTTAGCTATGACGATTCTGCACAAGAGAGAGTTGCTATTATTGACAATATCCCAAGCAAGCCGAGCACGTAGCGGCCCCGCCCAATCAGCCGAAGCATGGAAACCCAGTCCGCCACTAGCCGTGGAATGGCACAGTTCCTCCCATCTAACATAGTGAATACCGCGGCTAGCATTGTCTTTCTGCCACAAAAATCTTCGAGCCATGCATTCAATAGCCACTAGAATGCTTCGCGGAAGAGTGGTGTGAGTCATAAGATACATAGGGACAGCAAGTAAAAAAGTGTGGATCAGCGTGGCATGCCCCGCCAGTGAAAGATGGCGTCTGCCCCAACTATTTATTTTGCCCATCGCATTCTTCACAACCTTAGGGAAGTCGAAAGCCACCAACTTGCGCATGGCCAGCTGGAGTCCAAGGTATTCAAGTGATTGCACCCTCCGGAAATTCGGTAAATTAGCAATCCTACGTTGCTTCCAACCCGGGCAGTTCTTACTAAACAGTATCGCCGATTTAGTGCAGTTTATGCGTTGTCCCATCCACTAGCAGTAATCATTCAGGATTCCCCCAATTTGTTTGGCATAAAGGACGCTCGCCTCCGCAAAGGCCAAGATTTTGTCCACATACAACAGATGGGAGACCACAGGAGCCTCCTTCGTCACCCGAACGCCAATAGTGCCCCCCCTTTGCCGAAAAGCCTTGGTGAGGAGTTCCAAGCAAAGGATGAAAAGATAGGCCGAAAGAGGGCAGCCCTGCTGAAACCCACTGAGGCCGTCGATCCAATCACTCCTGCGGCCGTTAATTAGCAATTGAAATCTAGGGAAAGAAATACAATGCATTACCCATTGAGAGAACCGCGTCGGGAAGCCCATGAGGTTCATAACTTGGCGAAGAGTGTCACAAGCCATGCAGTCGTAAGCCTGCTCCATATCCACCTTAATCGCCATCATACCAGTCTGCTTCGTGGAGTGTTGGAAGTGGCAAATAATCTCCTGCGCAATTAGGCAAGGTTGGAAATGGAACGGCCCGGCACAAAGGCCCCTTGTTCCTCCCCAACCACCCGAGCCAGGATCGGCTTCATCCGACTAACAAGAATCCGGGCCGTGACCTTGTAGAGAGTTTGGCATAAGCTAATCGGGCAGAACATGGAAGGCGAAGAAGCATTGTCCACCTTGGGAAGAAGGATGATCAAAGTCTCCTTCCAATTACCCTTCATTGTATCAGTGGTGAAGAAGTCCCGCACCCCCGCAATGACTTCTCTATTAATGATCTCCCAATAAAACTTCAGGAATGACGCTGAAATACCATCGCGTCCTGGCTCCCGATTGTTACCGAGACCATAAACAGCCGCCCGAATTTCAAGATCCGTAACATCAGCCACCAAAGCCTCGTGGTACTAAGCTCGGATCCTATCATGCTCCTCAAAATCAGGCCAATTGAGAAGACAAGCATTACGATCTTTCCACTTGGCTCGAAAGAACTCCAGAAACGAGTCTTGAATACGATCAGCATCATACTCGAGCTGCCCATCCACCCGCTGAGTGCACAAGATCCGGTTCTCCCGCCGTCGGCTAGTCTCAACGACATGAAAAAATGTGAGTTTGCATCGCCCTCCTCAATCCACCTCACCTTGGCGCGTTGTCTCCACTAGATAGTAAGTCTAGTCAAGACATCGTTATGCTCCCTCACCTTTCTCCGCAGCTCGTTCTCCAAATCAGCCGAGAGTCCACCCGACGTGCAGTCAATTTCCTGCAGTTCTAAAATGTGGCGTAAAGCAGCTGCCTTCTAGTCCGTTAACCCCCGAATGCGACTCCGACTCCAATGAAAGAGAGCCCGCAGAGTACGCTGACATTTCCGGTTGAGCACCTCAACCGGGTTCCCCATGTCTCTGCGCGACCAATGCTGCCAAACCACCCGCCACGAAGCCGGGTAGGTGGTCCACACATCCTCGAAACGGACAAACTTCTCCCCTCACGAAGAGCCACTAGGGGAGAGGGTTAGAAGTAGCGGAGTGTGATCAGAGGCAATCCTTCCCATATGGCGAATCGTCGCAAATGGTGCACACTTCAGGCCCTCCGAATTCATTAAGCACCGGTCCAGACGGACCCAAGTCTGACTAGCCCCATCCTTGTACTTGGGTCCCACAAAGCCCAAATCATGAAGGTCCAAATTAGCCATAAACTCCGACATCTCCAAAGATCCCGCCGAGAAGGTGAAGAGTTTACCTCCCTTCTTATCGGCCTGGCTAAGACAACAATTGAAGTCACCTCCAATAAGAACCGGGTAGCTGGCATCATAATGTCGAGAAATAGACTCCCACAAAATGCGGCGGTTGTGATAGTCTTTGTTGGCGTAGACGGCAGCGGTCAGCCACTTCTGACCGTTGGGCAGCGAAAGCAGGCCAATCATGACCTGTTCGTTGCAATCAAGCACACTGAACTGGGAAATGTCCTTGCGCCACAAAACAAGGATCCCCCCCGGACTTACCAACAGCCGGTCTATGGAAGAACTCCCAGCTAGGACCAATGAGTTTGTCCGCGTCCGCCCGATCAAAGGCTTCGATTTTGGTTTCCACCAATCCCATAAAGTGCACCTCGTTGTCACCCACAAGGTGACGCAGGTAGTTGCTCGTATTCTTCTTACGAGCCCCCCTGCAGTTCAAGAACATGGTCGTAGACATTATACAACCATAGGGGACGCGTCCCCGCCGCCGTTAGAAGTAACCCCATCCTTTCTCCTCTTACGTGGAGCTTCCTCAATAGGTCCCAAGGACTGTAGCTCCTTATCAAAATGCGCCTTAGACGCTCCAAGTTTAGGTCGCGCAGGTCTATTCTCCACCGATCTTATACCCGCCGAGAACAATAAGGGCTCGGTTAGCCCAGGCTTTTTGTCTCCACGGCTCGGATGGAAATTCTCCTTCATACGACGAACCTTCGGCTCTTTAATCTTCGCAAGATCAACTTGCCTGGGGACATTCTCACCTAACAGTGACATAGTCACGGGCTGTTCCTTCTTTGACGGCTTATGTCCCTTCCTCGGGGAGACCACATTCCAAGGCCCATAGAGTTTTTCGTCCTCCGATAGCTCGGGCATCCTGAGGTTAGTTTCCCCACCAGCTGGCTTAGACGTGGACGCCGAGGACGATTGTTTACCATCCCCCAGCTTAGCCAAAGTTGAGAGATTGCCCATGGTCAAAGAGCAAGGAGTGGAGCACGGAGTGATGGTACCAACAGTCGGAGTACCTCCCACAGCCGGCAAAGGAGTATGAAGTGCCGCAGCTTTGCCATCCCCCGTGACCAGGGCCTTCGCATTCGTAGCCCCGGCTTGGCTCCCACCTGGAAGCGTCGTGCCAGTCATTGCCCGAGAAGAGAAGTTCTCCTTCCTGTGACCAATACGGCCACATTCAAAGCAAGATAATCCCAGGCCTTCATATTCCACATGTTTGTGAAATCTCCCCTTCCACCCGTTAATCCAAACCCTCGATTGGAGTTTCCTAGCAAGATCGAGCTTCACACAAACACGGGCATATTCCCGTCGCCCAATGTTGCTCGTCTGGGCATCAATCCATAACGGCTCCCCTATCATCGAGGCAATGCGAATGAGCGTATCATGGTCCCAATACTGGAGAGGCAATTGCGGTAGGCGAATCCAAATTGGTGAAGTCAGACCCTCAAGGGAGCTAGGGGAAAACTCCGGCGTCCACCGATCAAGCCCCACAATGTTGCCACTAAAGAACAATGGTCCCCCATATAGGACCGCATCCCTAGCCTCAGCCGAAGTGAAAATGCAAGCAAAACAGTCCACACCAATGGTGGATAGTTGGAATTTGCCAAACCGCCCCCATTGGCGTCGAATTTCAGCATCCAGCACAAAGAACGGGAGTCGCCGCCCCAATACTTTACCAACCACCTCATTCTACAAGTGGTTGATGCTTTGCTCTACCACCTCCAGCTTGAGGTCCACCGAGAAGCCATCGGCCGAGAACTGCCCCCTCTTAACCCTCTCAGTAACACGAATATGCTCCGACTGCTTCCACACATTGGTCGGGTTCGCCGGCTGGCTAGCAGCCGCATTATCACCAAAGACACCCTTACTCGAACCTGCAGAGGCATTACCACGAACACCTTGCGTGCGCTGTTCAGCCTTCTTCATGCCAACCCCATTCACACCATGGAGGTTCACGCCTAGCTGCGGGCTAATCCCGATAGCATCAACACCTACATTCTCAGTGGAATCCATGTCCACATCCCCATTCGCCGCCGACTCCACCTGCACATTAGGCGCCGAGAAAATAGAAGCCCATCTAGCTGCAGCAGCAGCTTCCACATTGGCAGCAACCGCGACCCTCTCAAGGGCAAGCTCAAACTCCATGGCCGCATCCTCAAAGACCGGACTAGCCGTGGCCTGCACTTCCTCGGTCTGCATCGCTGTCCCCCCCGCCATGCCCAGAGCTTCTCACACTAGGAACACTCTAGTGAGAGAAAGGAGTGGAAAGAAATGAAGAACCCCAAAAGTTTTTGGGTTCCTTGAAGATTGCATTTGCATTAAGAAATAAAAAGGAAAGAACAAATACAAGAGCTAAAGGGTGGGTGCCTACATACAGTCACTCTCCCTTCTAAGTAAAGATAAAAGGGTAGGGGGAATAGCACAGTCGCCGCCCCCATCCAAAACAAAATCACCAAAGCATACCATACGGGCACAAAAGTCTGCTGGTTGGTTGCTCTCTTGCGGCACAAACTGAAATAGGACTTGTTTAAAGTCCAGAAGAAAAGAGAGATCCGGGCCCTCCGTCCGAGTGTGAATTTTATTAAGGCGGTTGAACGTAGCTTGGAGCCATTGAATGGCATTGCGGAAATCTCCCTCAATGATGATTCCATCATAATCCAACATCTCCCTAGTAGCAATCTCCCTAATAGTCACTGCCGCCGAGATTTCCGCGGTCGTTACATCCCATTGCTCAACATGCTGTCCAGCCGCAAGAATGAGGCGTCCCATGTGATCCTGAACGACAACCCCCAGCCCCGCAGAAGCAGATTCCTGGATCGAGGCGTCAACATTAAACTTAATCCAGTTTGGAGGGGGGGGGGGTGCACCAAAGTTTGTCAGAAGGCAGCCCGGAGGGCTGAGTAGTGCACCATTGCTCCATAGCGGGCAAAGTATAAGTCTTCGGTAGCATCGATAGGATGGTCGCAATAATAACCGACGGCGTGGAGCAGGACCGCCCATGGATCTTGTCATTCCGGGATATCCAAAATTGGTATATGATGTAACAATAGAGCCTACCCATACTCGGATTGTCATCCGCAGAGCACCTCAGCCCATCCAAAAGATCATTCCAGGAATTGAAGTTCGGCACCTGGAAGCCCCAATTAGCAGCAATCTTAAAGATTGTCACCAACTTGTCACAACTGCAGGTCAGGTGATGAAGGGATTCCTCCGCAATACAGCCCCAAGGGCACTCCGCCGTCTCCCGAAGCCCTCTACGATTGGAGTTTCCTAGCATGATCGAGCTTCACACAAACACGGGCATATTCCCGTCGCCCAATGTTGCTCGTCTGGGCATCAATCCATAACGGCTCGCCTATCATCGAGGCAATGCGAATGAGCGTATCCTGGTCCCAATACTGGAGAGGAAATTGCGGTAGGCGAATCCAAATTGGTGAAGTCAGACCCTCGAGGGAGCTAGGGGAAAACTCCGGCGTCCACCGATCAAGCCCCACAATGTTGCCACTAAAGAACCACGGTCCCCCATATAGGACCGCATCCCTAGCCTCAGCCGAAGTGAAAATGCAAGCAAAACAGTCCACACCAAATGGTGGATAGTTGGAATTCGCCAAACCGCCCCCATTGGCGTCGAATTTCAGCATCCAGCACAAAGAACGGGAGTCGCCACCCCAATACTTTACCAACCACCGCATTCTCCAAGTGGTTGATGCTTTGCTTTACCACCTCCAGCTTGAGGTCCACCGAGAAGCCATCGGCCGAGAACTGCCCCCTCTTAACCCTCTCAGTAACACGAATATGCTCCGACCGCTTCCACACATTGGTCGGGTTCGCCGGCTGGCTAGCAGCCGCTTTGTCACCAAAGACACCCTTACTCAAACCTGCAGAGGCATTACCACGAACACCTTGCGTGCGCTGTTCAGCCTTCTTCGTGCCAACCCCATTCACACAATGGAGGTTCACGCCTAGCTGCGGGCTAATCCCGATAGCATCAACACCTACATTCTCAGTGGAATCCATGTCCACATCCCCATTCGCCGCCGACTCCACCTGCACATTAGGCGCCGAGAAAATAGAAGCCCTTCTAGCTGCAGCAGCTCCGAGCAAGGGCCTTGGTCAGCGGCTCCGAGCAAAGGATGAAGAGATAAGGAGACAAAGGGCAGCCTTGTCGGAACCCGCAGCGCCCATCAATCCAATCCGTCCTGCATCCGTTAATTAACAGTTGAAAACTAGGAAAGGATATGCAGTTGGTTACCCAATGAGTTAATCTTCTCGGGAAGCCCTTCTGATCCATAACTTGAGAAAGAGTATCCCAGGCCATACAGTCATAGGCCTGCTCTATGTCAAAAGTTTTTGGGTTCCTTGAAAGTTGCATATAGCATTAACAAAGAGAGCAAAAGGATAATACAAGGAGCTAGGCCATATCACTCTCGGCCTTCAACAAATCAACAAAGTTTGAAGGAACCAAGTTACAAGAAACATCATTCCGAATAAAGCTCCCAAAAATAGCGAGACTAGCACAATAATCAGCCGGCCGGTTACTTAGCCGGGGAATAAACTGGAAAATGACTTGCCTAAAGTTACACAAAAAGGAAACATCCACATTGTCCTCCCGGCGGAAAAGTGGGTTCCAGGGGTCACACAAATCCTGCAGCCACTTGATAGCATTGGCACTATCGCCTTCAATCACCAATCCCTCGCAATCAAGCATCCAATCCTCCAAAACTTCCCGGAGCATTAGAGCCGCAAGCAGCTCCACTGTCGTAGTATCCCAGTGCTCAATCATCTTACTGGCCGCCACAATAAGCCGTCCCAAGTCGTCACGAACCACAATGCCAAGACCTGCACGGTTGGACGGGAGAAGGGATGCATCAAAGTTCACCTTAAGCCACTTAAGAGGGGGGGTGCACCATAGCTTGGTTAATGGCAGCCCAATGGGCTGATTGATACACCATTGCTCCATCGGTGGCATATGGAAAGCGTTTGGAATTTGGGAGATAACCGTCGCAGCAATCACTTTAGGAGAGCCAAATTGTCTGCCATGCTTCTTAGCATTGCGGGCCCGCCAGGATTGGTAAACCGCATAGCAATAGAGTTTCCCGGGGAGAGGGTTAGAGCCGGCAAGCATCCGCAAAGAATCCTTAACCTCATCAAAAGAATCGAATAAGGGGAGAACCATGCCCCATTTGGCAAGACATCCAAGAATACTTCTCAGGTGACTGCAATGGGCCGTGAAATGATCAGTTGTTTTCGCCGAATCGCACCCCCAAGGGCAGAGATGAGTATCCGAAAGGTTTCGGCGATATAGCCAAGCATTGGTCGGAATTGCATCCCTAAAAATCCGCCACCAAAACAAGTTCTCACGCGGATGGAGTTTAAGTTTTTTGAGCCAGTTAAAATAATACTCCCCAACAGGGAAGGATGCCAAGTATGCCATAGCCGCCACCGTGGCACCGTGGCTAGAACGAATCAACTCGGGGACGTCCCTCCCAGCATCAGAATTAGTGGCCACATCTAGAACCCGCGTGGCCAGATCACCGCCAAAGTGCATCAAGACCTTATCTCGATCCCACTCCAAATTATTGTCAAGAAGTTTAGAAACTTTTCCAGCAGCAGGAGCGACAGAGTTAAGAAGCGTGGGCCATTGATCAAGCCGGCGGTCCAGAATCCAAACATCCTAAAAAATGTCCACCATCTGTCCGTTCCCAATACGCCACCGGATTATGGGGCGTAAAGCAACAGCACCCTCATGAACAGCCTTCCAAGTTATTGAGGTATTTCTGCCAGTGGGCATATTCCACGGATCCTCTCCATACTTGGCGCGAAGAATGCGTTTCAGAAGAACCGTAGGCTGTCGAATGAAATCCCAAGTCAGTCTAGCCCAAAGAGGAGCGCGCCAAGCCAAAGACGAATGGAATCCCAAACCACCATGAGAATGAGGCCTACAAATCTTGCTCCACGCCACATAATGAAGCCCCCGTCTGTTATTATCCTTGTGCCAGAGAAATTGTCTTCCAATTTTGTCCACCGATGCCAGGACTCCCCGTGGCACATCCGAAAGAGTCATGCAGTAAAGGGGGATGGCCAGCAAAGCAGTACGGATCAAAGTGGCCCGACCAGCTAGGGAAAGGTGTCTTTTACCCCACACATTCACTTTATTAGTAGCACTCATAAGAACCCGATCAAAGTCAGAGGCAGTAAGTTTGCGGAGCGCAAGAGGCAGGCCAAGGTACTCAAGGGAGGAAACCATCCGGAACCCCAGCACATTAGCAAGCCGGCGGCTTTTCCACCTCGGGCAGTGTTTGCTAAACAAAACAGCGGATTTGGCATTGTTAATACGCTGACCCGTCCACATGCAATAGTCTCCCAGGATTTCCAGAATTTTGGTAGCATTTGCCCGGGTGGCCTCAGCAGAAATAAGAATGTCATCGGCATAGAGGAGGTGTGAGACCCGCTCCCCTTTGGGATAATTTGCACTCCAAGGTTCGCCCCTCTTTGCCGGAATGCCTTGGTCAGCAATTTCGAGCAAAGAATAAATAGATAAGGTGAGAGTGGGCAGCCTTGGCGGAAGCCACTATTGGCGCCAATCCAATTAGAACGCGTCCCATTCAGCAGTAATGAGAAGCGAGGTTTAGTAATGCACTGAACAATCCAGCCGATGAACTTAGGTGAGAATCCCATAGCCTCCAGCACCCGATAAAGCGTATCCCAAGCCATACAGTAGTAGGCCTGCTCCATGTCGACCTTAGCAGCCAAGAGGCCAGCCAGAAGGGTGGAGTGTTGAAATTTGCACATAATCTCCTGAGCAAGGAGGCCATGATTGGAGATGGACCGCACCGGCACAAACGCACCCTGCTCCTCACCAATGAGTCTGGCCAACACCGGTTTGAGACGGGCGACAAGAACCTTGGCCACCACTTTATAGAATGTTTGGCAAAGGCTAATCGACCGAAACTGCGCCGGAGCCTTTGCCGTGGTAGTCTTGGGAATAAGCACCACAAGAGTATCCTTCCAGCTCGCACACATGGAGCTAGTGATAAAGAAATCCTTCACTGCAGCACAAATGTCATTGCGAATAATAAACCAGTAGAACTTAAGAAAGGAAATCGTGATACCATCATTGCCCGGCGCCCGATTGTTGCTAATGCCAAAGACGGCCTTCCGGATCTCCTCATCCGAGATATCCTCCTCAAGAGCCCCCCGAGCCTGCTCCGTAATTCTATCCGCCTCCAAGGAACCGGGCCAGCGGACATAGGAAGTATCATGCTCCCGCCATTTATCCGAGAAGAACTACCAAAAGACATCATGTATTACTTGCGGGTCCTGGGATAGCACACCCGCAGTAGTTTGGATTTCCTCAATCCTGTTACTACGATGACGAGGAGTTGCCGTCGCGTGGAAAAAGTGAGAGTTGGCATCTCCATCCTCAATCCAGCGGATTTTAGCCCGTTGTCGCCACCAAGTCACCAACCTGGCCAAGGTGGAGTTAAACTCCGAAACAGCAGACTGAAGCTCCGAATCCTGCTCGGAGGTGAGTCCTGTATCAGAGCAATCATCCCGCTGAAGAAGTTCAATTTTCTCCTCCAGCTCCTTGCGTCTAACTCCAAGGTCCCGAATTGTGTGCTTACTCCAAAAGTGAAGAGCCCGAAGAGTGTGAGAGCATTTTCTATTAACCACCTCTGCCGGTGGGCCAGCATCCAAGCGTCCCCACGCCTTGGCAACAATCCTCCAAGATGCAGGAAAGCTAGTCCAAACATCTTTGAAACGAATCCATTTGGCACTAGGTTACCGTAATCCATTCTCCAGCCACAATAAGAGGGGGCAGTGGTCAGAGGCCAGACGATTTTAATGCTTTACCGATGCAAAGGGTTCCACATTCAACCCTTCAGAATTAACGAGGATACGGTCTAGCCTAACCCAAATCCGGCTATTGCCCTCTTTGTTGTTAGAACACTTGTAAGAGGGACCAGTGAATCCCAAATCATGAAGATCAAGTTGACTAAGAGCATTCGACATTTCCTGATCCCCAGTCGAAAACCGAAATCGCTTCCCGCCCTTCTTCTCTCCCTGGCAAGACAGCAATTGAAATCCCCACAATAATAGTGGGGACATCCGGGGTGATGATAGTGCCAAGGCTCTCCCACAATTGCCGTCGGACATGGAGATCCTTGTTGCCATAAACAAGTGCCACCTTCCATTGAACAAGAGAGGGCATAACAACCCATCCCACCACACATTGGTCCATAGCAAAATCAACCTCAACCTTGAGGATGTCGCATCTCCAGGCTAGCAGGAGTCCACCCGAGCGGCCATTTGCAGGATGGTGGAAGAAGTCCCACTCACGGCCAACAAGGCGGTCTACCTCCACCCTACTGATGCTCTCCACCTTAGTTTCAATCAACCCGACAAGGCCAACCTCATTGGAAACAACGAGGTGCCGTAGGAAGTTGCCCGTGTTTTTTTTTCGGGCCCCCCTACAATTCCACATAATGATGTGAGTCATTGGACAAATATAGGGGAAGCGTCCCCGCCGCTCGTGCCACTCCCGCTCTCCTTACGCCTCTTCCTAGGACCCACCTAAATAGGTCCAAGAGCCTGGAGTTCTTTGTCAAAATGGGCTTTATATGCACCAAGTTTCGGCCTATCCTTGCCCACGCCCGCCGAGAACAAAGTAGGCTCCTTAACACCTAGCTTGCGCCAACTCGGTTTAAGGTTTTCTTTGCTGCTGCCCCTCAAAGGTTCACCAACCTCTTTGAAATTAACTTGTCTTAGCACATTTTCACCAAGAGGTTTTTTCTCAACTAAAGCTTGAGCTTTCTTTTGTTGCATAATTTTCTTCTTCCTCGGTGGCACAATATTCCACTCTCCAAAGAGATTTTCTTCTTCAGATAATTCTGGTTTGTCTCCTTCCACAGGAGGAGGCAAATTCCCTCCAGCAGTTGGGGTAGGCAGTTCATCACGGTCAGCCCGAACCGTGACCGCAATGTTCGTAGAGTGGCACCCCCCTCCACCGAAACAGATGGTGATGGCACCTCTTTAGGCTGCTCCCGAGGATTAGGCCGTGCCCTGCTTGTGGATGCCACACTAGATCCGCCACTTTCCAAGATTGCCTTCCCTTTCGATATCCCCGTAGAAGTACCCACCTGGCCAGCACCCCGTACATCCCCACGGGCAGGACAACTATCCTGCCGATGACCAATACGCCCGCAGCCAAAACACGACATACCCAAGCCTTCATATTCTACCTTTTGGTAGAACTTTCCCTTCCAGCCATTAATCCATGTGCCCGGCTGCAGCTTTTGTGCCAAATCCTGTCGCACACAAATGCGTTCATATTCCCGCCTACCATCTCCACCAGTTTGTACATCAATCCACAAAGGGGTGCCAAAATGTGATGCAATCCGCATAAGATTGTGCAAATCCCAATATTGAAGCGGTAATTGAGGTAGACGAATCCAAACCGGCGATGACAGTCCCGCCAAAGAGTTTGGTGAGAAAGCTGGCGTCCATCTATCCAACCCGACGATGTTGCCATTGAAAAACCAAGGCCCGCCGCAAAGCACCGCATCCCGGGCCTCCTCTGAGCTAAACCGACACACAAAACAATCGGTACCAATAGTGGATAGATGATAGTCTCCAAAACGGCCCCATTGTCGCTTAATCTCTCCACTAAGAACAATATAGGGTAATTTTTTCCCAATAATTTTACCTACCACGGCATTATCCAGCGCACAAATGCGTTGTTCCACAAGCTCCATCTGCAACTGCACCACACCGTCCGTCGAGAAGGTCCCTTGGGGAACTTCCTCCTCAATCCGGATGTGCTCCGGTTTTTTCCACACATTATTCCCATTAGGTTTTCCTCTGTCCGGCGCCAATCAGCAAAAGACTTCCGACCGTGCCCCCTTAGAAGCAATACGACAAACACCTTGTGTGCGAGATTGCGGATTTCCACCACCGCAGCCCAATGAGAATTGCAGGTTCACGCCTAATCCAGGATTGCCATCTATGGTTTCACCGGCTGAAGCTACCTATACTCCCATTTCAGTGTCCTCACAACACTTACCGCTCGGAACCACCACAGCAGCTGCAATCGGCTGCTGATCTTCTTCTGCGCGCACCGCAAAGCCAGTATTGTCTGGCTGGTTCGCCGCCTGGTGCCTCGCCGCACATCCAGACGCCAATTCAAGTGCCGCGGCATACCTAGCCGCTGCCGCAGCTTCCGCATTGGTAACCTCCGCAACACGCCCCAGCGCCTGTTCAAACTCCATGGCAGCGCCGCAGTCCCCTTCCGCCGTGTCCATTGCCATGTGCATGTCCACCCGAGTCTCTCCCAGCGGGCCAAGCCTCCCCGCGCAATAGCCTGGCCAAGGCCATGCCCGTCCGCAGCCTTAGCACCCCGCGCCCCAGCAGTAACCTCCTCAGCCGAAGGCCTAGCTGCAGCCGCACTCTTGCTCGCCGACTTCCCCGATCTCGCCTTGGCCGAGGATTTCACCTCAACGCCTTTGCGACCACCCTGCGCACCAACACCCGACCTCCTCCGATCACGTCCCCCACCTTCCACCGAACCTTCACCACCGCCACCCCCGCCGGAGCGGGGAGGAGACCGCCTGTCTCCCCCCGCCATGCCCAGAGCCTCTCTCTCTAGGAAACACTCTAGTGAGAGAATGGAGTGGAAAGAAATGAAGAACCTCCGTCAAAAGTTTTTGGGTTCCTTAAAATAAGATTGCATTTAAGCATAAAGGGAAAGTACAACAAATAAAAGGGGGCTTTCCACAATAAAGGAAAGCCACCGACAAAAAAAACAAAAACAGCACAAAAAAGGTACAAAACACAAAGACCACCAAGCACAGCATCTAAAGATATGCACGAATAGAAGGCAGACAGCATTCGGGGGGGGGGGGAGCTGAACAAGAGTAAGAAACTGCACAAAAGCAGAAAAGCTCCCCAGTGCCCGGCATAATCTGTCTACTCCCCGCACAAATCTCCAGAACCTGAAACAAGGGGAGCCTCATAAAACAGCAGAGGGGAAAAGGTCCCCGCCCGTGGTCTCTTCAGGGCCTTTCTTGTGTTTCTTAGGGACAATAAGGCCCAACTGAAGCACCTCTTTTTGTGGAACAATTCCACGGGGTGAAGCCTTTTTAAGAATCAGATAAGACCTCCCCATCGAGGGAGGAGAAAGCATGCCTATCTGGCCAGCCGATCTGACAGGAGGGGCCACCGGAGCGGGAAGAGTCATCAGAGTCGGCAAAGCAGGTGAAGGTTTCTGAGGCCGCTGCCTCCTCTTAACAATATTCTATTCCCCTAGCTCCCCGAGTCGCTCAAGAGAGGGGGGATTGCTGCGGAGAGGCTAAGAGGCGGTACCACCAGGGGTAGAATCTATAGGACTGGGAGATCAAGAAGGGACACCCGGCTGCTGAGCGGCGAGGTCGGGTCCCCCAGTTCAGATAGCAGAGGAAGTTTCCTGTCCAATCGGCGCATAGGCCAACCTATGAGGAGCGCGAGGGTTGGAACCAGCCGGTGGGGGGGCTTGAGGGGCAGTCCAGTCAGATGGGCATCGGTCGAAAGTATGGCCGACAAGCCCGCACGCAAAGCAAAAGTTGGAAAGGCCCTCATTTTCAATCTTCTGGAAGAATCTCCCTCGAACTCCCTTGATCCAGATACTGGAGAGGAGCGGCTTAGCAAGATCCAGGCGGACACAGAAACGGGCAAAGGAGGAACGCCCCCAAGTGGATGTATGAGCATCCAGCCACAGAGGGTCACCTATGAAACTGGCTATACGATTGAGATTGGTGACATCCCAGTACAGAAGGGGAAGCTATGGTAGACGAACCCACACCATGGAAAAAAGACCATGCAGAGAGTTAGGGGCATAGTAAGGAGTCCAACGGTCCATACCAAGGAGGCTACCGCCAACCATCCAAGGGCTACCTTGTAAAACAGCATCACGAGCCCCGGAGGAGGGAAAGATGCAAAGGAACGAGGCCGGGCCAGTAGTAATGAGTTCAAACTCACCAAACCGCAACCACTGTCGACGAAGGTCAGACTGCAGAAACGCAAAGGGCACGCGCCGTCCCACAAACTGCGCAACAAGCGCCTTTTCCAACTTACCGGAGTTATCAGCTACCTCCTCCTGAGAAAGGAGCAGGGAAACACCATCCTCATCTATAAATTAAGCAGGGGAAAGGGACTGAAATGCCATAAATTGCGGCGCCGCACAGGCCACCTCGGGAGGGGTATGAGCACGGGGAAGGATCGGAGGAGAGGAGGAGCCCGAGTTACCAGGACTAAGTCCCACAGGATCAGAAGGAGGCAGAGCGGAAGGGTCAACCTGCTCTGCCAGCCCAGGAGCAGAAGGCGTTGAGGCAGGAGCGACCGAAGGAGCCGGAGAAAAAACAGGACGGAACGCCAGAAGTGCGAGTGCCGGGGGAAGCTCAGACCCAAGAAGGAAGGATCCAACCAACGGAGGGGAGGGTTGGGAGGATCGACCAGAAGGGCCAGGACGCGAAGATTTAGTCAGGCAAAAGTTTTTGGGTTCCTTGAAATATATGGTCGCAAGGCTGAAACTTAAAGGAATTGATGGAAGAGCACCACCAGGAGTGGAGCCTGCGGCTTAATTTGACATTTGATCAAACACGGAAACTTACAGTCCAATCATAGTAAAGGATGGAAGACTGAGAGCTCTTTCTATTCTATGGTTTGGCATGCGCTTCTCATTGTGGACCGATTGTCTAATTATTTTGTTAACCGAATAGACTCAGCCTCTAATCATCTATGCGAGCAACCTGCGGCCTACTCTTTAGAGGACTATGCTTTGATGCACAGAAATTTAGGAATAACAGGTTGTTAATTCTGTTTACCCCGGCGCTATCAAAAACACTGATGTATTCAATGAGTAAATATCCTTGGCCCGACAGCCGTTAATCTTAGAAAATCATCGTGATGTATAATATTATCAATTGTGTCTCAACGAGAATTCCTAGTAAGCGCTGAGGTCATCACTCGCGTTTGACTAGTCCCCTTTGTTACACAACCGCCGCGCTGTCCCTTACCGATTGAGGTCTGAGAAAGTGTTGATCCCTGTATGCGGGCGGTTCGCTGCCCGTGGACCTGGCGAAAAGTCATACCTAATCATTTAGAGAAGAGTGTAACAAGTTTCCGTAGTTGAACTGCGGAGGATCCTGTCGAACAGTGAAACACAAGCAATTCGTGAACCTCGTAAAATAAGAAAGGTGGTCTTGCTGCTAAAATAAAAAATCACGGAGTCATCGCTCATCCCGCTCTAATGGGTGTGGACGGATGAAGGATCATGAAGCAAAATCGGCACTTACGCCAAGGGAATTTGAACACAAACTCAGAAATGGGTTTTGTGGATGGGTGTCGCACGCCAAACTTCCTTGGGGACAACGACCCAGCAATGGATATCGCTCTTTGAATCGATAAGAGCAGCAATGCATATGTGTCAAATTGCAGAACCCGCGAACCATCAAGTTGGAAACGCAAGTACCCTAAGGCCAAACCGCTAAGGCAGTCCCTGGTCCGCAGCAATTTTATCTCTCCGTGCATAATCGTCCCACCTGGATTTTACTAAGGTCGATGTCACTTCTCCTTCTCGTGCCCTTGGTGCGCGGCTGAAGGCGTCATCTTCTCTTGGTGCAATAATAAGGTGGGATCAAAAAAGCTATTATGTGATAAGCGTTCGAAGATGATCATACTTTAGGGATCCCAATTTCATCGCTAAATCCTGATGAGTATCGAACAACCCAGATGGGCTAGGCACCGAGTTAAGCATATCATTAACGGAGGATAAAGAACTTACGAGATCCCTATAAGAGACGACGGGATAGCCAAATGAATCGCTCCATGGTAGCACTCAAATTGAGTTCTGAGAAGCAAATGCCCATACGACGAAGCGGCCCATACTCTGAAAGGTCGCCGGGATGTTAGAGCCCCGTTCGGTTCCGACTGCGCAACATGAGCGTTGTCGCGTAGTCGGGTGTTTGCGAATGGGCAGCCCTGAATTCGGCGCGATAAATCGTTCAACTGTGCTTTAATATAGCGCGAGATGATTCGATAGCGAACGAAGTATCCCGTCGAAGGAAACGATTAAAAGATTTTGAAAGAGAGTCAAGACTGTTGCTTGAATTTCAGGCGAAGGGAGACGGTATGTGGGCCGGCGTCTGTGATCTCGCCTGACAAGAATGGCTGTGCTTGTTTTCTGCTGCTGCTCGATGTGCTGATCGTTTCAGCCTAACCTCAACGACAGAAGCCCGGGCGCATCGTGCTCCTTGAGGAGCACTCGTCGGTGACTGGTCTCGGCCAATACAAGCAACGCCCGTAATAAGGCAGCTGGGGGCGCTTGCGTGGTCCGTTGCATACGGCCGTGCTCCCTAATCGACCCGTCTGAAAACGACAGGACCTGACAGCATGCAGTCAGTTTTGAACCCGGGGCACAAGGAACTGATGGTCGGAACCTCTTACAGGGCACCCGACCCACCCAGACTTTTGTGGAAGGTGAGTGAAGCATGCTCTCGGGACCCGACAAAGATGAATTGAAACTTCTGATCGGTGTGAATAGCCCCAAAAAGAAAAAGGAAAAAAAAACCTTTCGTGGAACCCCACATGATACTGGACGGTGCAAATTGTTCATCTGACTGGTTATAGGGCTAAAACTATATCGAATCACTAGTACTTTCCTCCGAATTTCCCTCCAAATAGATGGACCACACAGAGTTTCTAATCAGTCAAAGCCCAAAGA